TGTGCAAACCATCAACTGAGAGACAACTGACTCTTTATTCACCATGAAGATTACAGGCAAGAAGACAGGTCTACTTTACTGCTGTTAACAATATTGCAGTACTCTATGAGTGCCCATAAAGATATGGCTCAAAGAAACCACGAGTTGTTTATTTTCCACATACAAGAAAGAGCCTGACAAGCAATGGAAAAAGAATTCAAACTGGAAATGCCAGTTTAATCATGCATTTGAGATCCAGATTTTACATCAGGGTTTTTTAGAGGTGAGTGGAAGCACCTGGTAAATGACATTGCTTATATACCACAGAATGGTTCTCCCCACAGTAAGTCTGCACCAGACTATGACAAATAAATCTTGCCAGACGATTACTTCATATGTCCTTAATGAAATTAACGTAGAAGTGATGAATTCAAGGACATTTTCTGTCAGTAAACCACGTCTAATCTAGAAGTGGACTTTGTATTTTGAGGGCTGGCTATAGCAAAAAGGACATTTCTGCTAAAACAACACCAACACCAAGACAACATACACAACTCCCCATGAGAAACTTACTTCCTTTTTTACAGACAGTCTCCAGGATACACATTTAATATTTCTTGGCCTTCTGAGCTTTTTTTGCACTACATTTACAGTAATTACTTTCGTGATAGCAAATATCTTTGTAGAACAAAAGCATTTGCATTTGACAACTAAGTTGCTCCAAAACACCAACCCACCTGGGTTTTTTTGAGTCTTTATGTGCAGAACAGCAGTGCTTACTGAAAGTTCTGTTATTTCTCTTTATAACTAGTTTTGAGACTCTGAAAGCAACAGAATAGTGACTTACAGTTTAGAAAGAGGAGGAATATTAGCAGTTGTTCATTTAATAGAGTTACAACTCCTCTGCAATATGCAGAAGTGCTACAGATATAAAGACGTGATCATTTAACAAAACATTCACCATTCACATTGGGCAGCAATTAGAAGATGCTGCACATTATCTCAGAGGATTGTATGTTCTATCTTAATGGGGAGTCATACAGGAGCAGCAAACCAGCTGGTGAACAACAGAATAGTTTTGATAAGCTGTCTGGGAGCAATACAGTATCCATGAAATTGATATCCTATTTCCAACTTTAGACTTCATACAGACATTAATTTTTTTCCAGTGCTGGAAGCTAACCAATTAGAGCTAAAAGATGACCAGAGAACAAAACCATCTCTGGAAGAGTGGATGACTCAGGGAGGCAAAGTCAATTTTACACAAGCAAAACTGGAAGGAGGAAATAGCTGAAGATAAAGGACCATGTTAGACAGGCTCTTCGGTGGGTTTTGCAGGCTGCCAGACCCGTGGGACTTCTGCCTGGAACACTGTGAGGTGTGTATACAGGCTTTAAAAAGGGAAATTCTTTCTAAATAAACAATGCATTATTTTAAGAAGATCTCCTGGAGAGCAAGAGGGGTGCTTACTAGTATTATTTCTTCCCTGAGACAAACCTGTGGAGGTAATCACTGCCAGACTCAGGGAGAACACTGACCAAAAGGTTGGCCTTTGAGTTGGAAAAAAATTGAAGGAATCCATCTTAAGGAAGGCTTATGATTAACAATACTGACCTTGAGGGGAGATACCTAATGCTATCTTCTCACCCAAATGGGCTGAAGACAGTGCTTTAATATACATACCAAAACCAACTGTTGGTGTTGCATTCATTAACTGCTTCTGAAACCACACTATCATTGACAGTGTGATAAAACATTAAGTTTTATCCTGGGCAGTCTCCCCCCATAGGTGTCAGCAATTCTTCAGACGATAAATTCCATGTAAAGGTTGCTATTATTTCTATCTTTTACAGTAATAGCAAGGCAGTGTATTTCTTCCAGTTCACTCCAGCTTGCAATATGTCCAATGCAGATAGCTCTCATTCTTCCTTTATGCAGTCTTCCTTTGTCACTGCTTGACAGTACATTCAAGTGTTCAAATTCAGTCATTCACTGACTGTATTATAATGGATTTGTTACTATATGCCACCTTTCAAGAAGCGATCTTGCCAAGCTCATTTTGCGCTTTTTGGATATTCAGCTCTCCATCAGCTCAATCCAAAACACTGCATCTCTCTGTATTCAGTGCCTAGGTTTTGCATCCCTCCTCCCTACGCACCACATCAACCTCTGAAATGCCAAGTAAATGTTTAAGTTTAAACACATGAACAAGGGACACTTTCAGATATATCTGGGTCAATATTATGAGCTCCATGCCAAAGGATGTTGTGTGTTAGCTGAGCAAGGCAGTATATTTTTTTCAATTGCTTCAGCCACTAGCCAACCACGTGAACTATCCTGAACAAATTCTTTTTTAAAATTTTTAATGAAAGAATTTAATACAAAACCCCAAAGAATATGATATAAAAACAAACTCATCTTAATTACATACAGAGACCAATGAAACAGCATGAAATGTCTGTCGTTTGGGCCAGCTAGCCCTTAAATTTTTACATAGTACGCTTTCTTTTATTTAGGATATACATCTAGGCAATGTTTCTGGGGGTTTTGCCATCTACAGAGCCCTAAGGTCCCTTAATGCAGCTTTCATCATCCTTTCTTGATACATGCCATCAAACTCTATTTCCAAAAAGAGTTGTCACTAGGAAGGGAGCCCCCAGGCACCACATTACACAGTAGCCTGGTTCATATAAATGTGAACTGGGAAAAATAATCAACCACTTTTAAATACAGCTTTTAAATCATGCAGTTGAACTAGCCTACACTATTTACATGAAACATCTTGTAGTCATTCCATACAGCAGTAAAATTTATTAGCATTTTCCTATAAGGCAGTAACAACTGGAGCTACACAATAGCATCAGGTCTTTCTCCCTTCAAAGAGATTTTACAAAGCAGTAAAGTCCTTCTAGCATAAACCGTACTAGAAAGCCTGAAATGGTTTCAGATTTGGTACAAACTATAGATGTAGTCTGTTACTCTTCTTGCTTTTCCCTTCCTCATTGGATTCACATTCTTTTTTTCAGAAACACTTTTTTCTTCTTTTAATTTTTTTTTCCTGCCTTGCAAATCTATATTCTTTCTCTGTTCCTTCACTCATGAGTTATTTGCGGGCTGGTTTAGAGAAAGACCCATACAGACAGAGGGTAGTCACAGTAGCAGAGGCAAGAAGCCAGCCCCTACTCCTGCACCTGTGTGTATCTGTGAATGAGTCCCACTGTCAACCGTGTCACACACCACTGCGCATGAAAGGAGCAAAGAGGGGCTCTTCCAAGGGCACACACTTCAGCTAGTCTGTGTTTAGGAGTAAGCATGAACCTGTGGCTTCCCTACCAATACTAATTGTCTTTATCAAAAACAGCCTATTCTGCTATTTCTTGGCAAGGTCTTTCTGCACATGAGGACTGGCACTGATAGAAGCATAAGAGATAATATTATTTTCAGCTTTGGGGAAATAAGATTACCAGACAGCACAAAGGCAACCAACCCAGTAATCCTCCGAGTACTTTGCATACCACGTTTTCTATGTTTTGCCCTCCCCTGAAACATAAATTATCATAACTGCTGGAGGAAAGATGTAGGATTTGAAGGACCAGCTGGTCAACTGGACATGGCGAATACTCTTTTCCTGACATATACCACCTCTTCTTCCTCAGCCACCTCTGTCTTATGTATCTTTAAGTGTCTATAGTCCTCAATGAACATCTAACCCTTGACTGCACAATGTCACCTTGGACTGTAAGAGGGTTTTTTCACTATCTTTAGTACTTTCAAATGCTAAAATACAATTTATCACCCACTGGGCTATTTCCTGCTTCAGTTACACCTATGCTCACACTCTGAAAGAGATGTTGGCATCATTTTAAGAGATGCCATTTCTAATTTTCACTTAATTCTCAAAGATGTGCACTGATAGTCTTAGCTCCTCAGGTACATAAAGTAACTAACCTCAAAAACTCAGGCAGCAAAGCTATTTTAAATGGCAACGTGCAGTTTACAATAAAAAGCATTATATGTTGATATAGCACCACAGTTCTAAAAGATCCTAAAGCATTCAAGCTGACATTTAGACAGCCTTGATCTTACTTGTGACCTTCCTTTGCTCAGGTTCAGAAAATATCCCACCTGACTACTGGACTACGCTTGTGGAGATTGTTCCCTCTCTCCATTGAGAATGCAGGCTGTCTAAAGACAATGCTCATGGGTTTAAAATGCCATTTAAATACAGGCAATTCTGAATGGAAGTTGGTCTTCCAGCAGTGCAACAGGATTTTCTGCAGTTTGGCTAAGAAACTCAGCTGGTATGCAATCACCAGAAAATATTACAGAAGCTTTAATTTTTGTACAGAACAGACAAATTTGTTGTTTTGAAAGGTCATGGCAGTAAATCGCATGGAATTCAATTTACCTCCCTCAGATGGATGAAGGTCTGAGTCAAACATAGAACAGTGGAAGCCTTTGGCTCCAAGAAGTCTGTGCTGATTCAGACCTGCTCTTAGGCAGGCAAACCATCCTTTCAGCTCTGCATTATTACAGCTTCTGATTTTCAACTGATCTTTTTCCTCAGCTGTGCTATTGTAGCAAATTGTGCCATAGATGAACATCAAAGCAATGGTCAATGCAAGAAAAATTTGTTTGTTCTTAACCAGGAACTTACCAAATATAAAGTTATTTGTGAAACAGAGATCATCATAGTTGTCTCACACTCATTTCTCCACGTGTAAAGTGAAATATAAAAACTACAGGGAGATGCATGGGAGACAATATCATCAGTACAATACAGAAAGACAAATACTGGAAAAGCAAACAAGCACAAGGATTAGTTTCAAAAACAGAAAGACCATGAAGGCAAAATCAAAAGAATACCCTGAACATGTTTTAGCTTCACAGTACACCCAGGAGGAGAGTGCACACCTGTAGCACACCTAATTTAACAGGCTCCTTGTGCATAACTGAGAACAATAGAGTTAGTGAGCAGATCATTCCTGACTGGATGTATCTCACGAGGCAGTAACTCTTACCTAAAGCTTTCTGGGTATTCAGCAACAGCCATGTTGATAACATCCAGTGCATGCTGATAGTGCTTCTGAGCTGAAAAGAGGAGGGCCAGTAGATGAAGTGAATTCATGTCATCTTTGCACAGTTGTAGGGCTTCTTGAAGATGGTCTATAGCATCTGAAATCTAGAAGGAGATGGCATAGAAATAAAAAGAGAACTCAGTACTCCTTCAGTCCTACATTTATACCTCAAAGATAAGAACAAATACAAATTCTGAAGAAATTCTACTTAGATGTCTTCTATTATTCAAACAGTTTGCCAAAATTAACAGACTGCACTGCTTGAAAAAAACAAACATTCTAGAGAAAGGAGTCTGCAGCATTACTAAATCACTGCTTATAAACAAGAGCAGCAGATCTGATCCAATCAACCCCCTCTTACTTTGGCTTGGTGATTCTATGCTGTAAACAGAAGCACTACAGAGGCCCAATTCTCAGCTCTATTTTCTAGGATGGGTGGCTGGCTCTTCACCTGGGGGAGAGCATTACACATTTCTGCTGTATTTTGTCTCTTGTAATAGCTGTACAAAGCCTTTCATGATTTGGATCAAGAACATAAAAATTGAGTTTGAATGTTCAAGGGAAACACTCACAACAGTAGCATGTCATTAGAACCAAGTCTCATTTGGCAGAAAACTTAACATCTATAATGAATGCAAGTATATCACATGCTCTTTGTGATCCAGTACGCTACTTTAGGCTATCTGTTCAAAAGGGAACTTCTTAGCAGATTCTCTTTTATTTGTTTACCAATAAGTTTTATGCAGAGGATTTTTTTAAGATTCTCTAGTGCCTGAAATTACCATTACATACATTATTCCAGATCTGTGTTTGGCTCTGGAAATCTGCAGAAAACAAAACGTGAAACTGTGTAAATTTCTTTTCCTCATGTATGCTTTCCCACTGCTTCTCTTATGGATGGAGAATGTAGTTCCTTCTTCCCTACTATGAGAAGTTCCCACCTAGCAAAGTTTTGCAGACATTTTTCTACGCTGGCATATCAACAGTGTCAAATTCCCACTGCCTCCACAGCTCTCTCACAAAAACAAGTAGCACATAACTAATGAAAGCAACAATTACACTGCCTGCAGCTACAACAGCAGTTGCTGATTATCTAGATCCCAGGTATGCTTCTGGGAGCATGGTATATATATTCTATTCGTGGGACAACTTCATCCTAATGTCCAAGTGACATTTCACTCTTGCTGTTCATACACGAGCCACAGTACTTAACTACCCTATTACTGGTGACTCCATGCAAGCCTGGAGATCAGTGTGACTGCTCCAGACATAACCCCAAACTGGCATCTGGCCCACAGTGTCAAAACTGCTGAATGTCCTGGCTTGGATTCAGGTTGGGATACATGACTGAGTGCTCAGCTTTAATGAATTACTGCTTGTCAGTGGAGCTACTTTAACCACATGTGTTATTACAGCTTACTGCAAAGGTAAATGCATTGGCGTAAATCACCAGTGTTCCCCCAGCAGCTCACTAGAATACATTTTTATACAATGTAAAAATACTAGCAATGACAAGACAACTTGAAACCAGAACAACAAGCATGAAAACTATTGTGGGCCCAGATCTGCTGTCCACAAAGTTCTTCAGTAGATATATCAGAGATATATAAATTGACTTGCTAAAACAAAGCTGCTATCAAGACTCTTCTTACACTCAGGACTAAAAACACCTCCTATTTTTTCTATTCCTCTGTCTCAGACCTGCACAAGTAGTCATAAAGAAGATATAAGCTTGGAGAAAAGTAAGTTCATTAGAAGAAAAAGAAAACCTGTAAACCAGACAACTGGAGGGGACTTTGAACAGCCTGTTCCGGCTGACCCTGTTTCGAGCAGGGATTGATCTGGCTGATCTCTAGAGGTCCTCTCCAAACCCGATTATTCTATGATTCCAAGACTTGGGAAGGTGATCCTAATTTGCTAGTATAAATCAGACAAAGAATAATACTTGCAACTAGTGTCTTTAGTGAGGGGCTTCAAAATTGTAAGGGTACTTGACCTTACTTGCATGTGAACATGCAAACTGAGTCACAGACTTTGCTCTATGTGTTGCAAGGGACTTACAGCCACACAACTGCAAGTCCATACCCCTAACAGAGGCCTGCCATCAAAGAAGCTCTCCGACTGTGTTGTAACATCCATGAAATAAAGCTGCATAAAAGTCAGTCGTGGTCTCTCCTACAAACCTGTGCCTGCTGGGCAGGCAGTCATATACTGCTGATATAGACATAATCTAAAATAATTTCCCCCTGTTCTGTAGTATAGGGCCTGCAATGGTTACATCTCATTTCAGTGCTTCCCTCTAGTACCATCAGAGTCACAGGGAATGGCTGGTTTTGAAATTTAATTACGCTTCTCTGGCACCTAATTGTTTAACTTGAGTCCAGAAAGGTTCCTTAGTGCTCTAAGACCATTAGTGGCCTACACCGTTCTGCTGCATAATTAGAAACACTGAACGAAAAACTTTTAATTATATGAACTCTATGCCTTTATGGGAAGCATTATATGAAACAACAACCTGCAACAGACCAGAAGCAATGAAATACAAACTAAATTTCTAGAAGAACAAAAGCAACATATCTGGCAGCAGTCAAAGCGAACTTCTTTTGAAAGCGGTATTTTTATTTAAGTAACTGTATAATATGAGAAAGCTGGAAGCTGGCAGCCCAGATGGCACCCTGAAACTTCAGGGCTTTATCAGAGGTAGGCTGCCAGTTTAAAATTCCCTACAAGCACTGAGCTTTAAAGTAATTTTATTTCACCTGGACTCCAAGTCCAAGTGAGGCCTGTAACTAGAAGATGCTGCACTTCCCTGATTTATCTTTCTGTTAACAAATATACCACACATTTTGCATGGCACACAGGTAAATTCACATCACACTGATCAGGAAGCAAAGATGCCGCAGTAGGCCATAAATAGCATCTTGCAGCACTACCAAATATAATGATGCAACATGGATTGTTTAGGTTGCCTCTCAGAGAATAGGATTTATCTCAATAATGCCATATGTTTCCTTAAAAACAATGTTGGGATGTTACAATTATAGGTATAAAAAGGAAAACAGTATGAGTGTTAAAAATAATTCCCAACACTAGAATGTGCTTGCATATTTAAAATGGTAAATGAAATAGAAACTTGTAAAGAGGAGTTTTCAGGCCTTGTAATTTCACATCAGTTGACAGTTACACTTAATTAACCATTAAAACAACCCACTCCATCTCTTTTTATAGCACGGGGATTACAGAAAGGAGACAGCTTTATCGACTGGCAAGAGCTTCCATTGAAAACAGACTTGCTACAGTCCACCAGAACTTCAGGAAAACTGGAATAGATGCATCTGCACATTATTATTTAATTCTTACTACAAGCCATTTTTGATCACCAGAAAAGTCTAGGCTAGGATGTAGGCAGAAAAGCAGCATGCTGCTATTCAGCAAAGAGGCACTAGCTGGTCCAGAAGAAAGACAGAGATCAGAACTACCCACATCCAAGCAGCCACTGAAAGAAGCATCTCTTGATACCTACTAAAAAAGAGTTCCCCTTTTGGGGCAAAGGCAGCAGTCTCTCCTTCTTGAAATGAAACTAAAACCTGTAAAAAATAACTGAAATATTTTCTCTGGTCTCTTAACTGATGTTTATCTCAGTTTTAGATCCAGACACTCTGGAAAGCAGCAGATGTTTTCTGGATATTGCCACTTGAAACTTGAGGTCTGTTGGAAGCCCATATGAAATTGGTGAGACTTCCAATCCTCAGCTGCTGACCCCTCGCTGTCTTTTCCTTCCTATTTTCATGCAAAGAAAGGGCAAATCAGATCAAGTATTAAAATGGTATGAAACTACAAACGTTGTTTTTATGTATTCAATACTGATTTACATGGAATTCAAGGTCAAAAACACCACCACCCCCAAAATGAAAAGGGAATCAACATTTAAAATTAACAAGAACGCTGCTGACTCTCTAGAGTCATTTCCATAGAAACTGGCCTGCTAAAAAACAAGGCAATGCATTAAAATCAGTGAGCTTTAAATGCTCATGCTACCTTGTTTTTGCTGATCCAAATGCTGTTACCACAGAAACAGGAGAAGCAGCCGAACCAGCGGCCGGGAGTTGGGAGTTACAAGTTTCATTTGTCAATCGGCTTGGCCGGCTGCCAGCCAGGCACTGCAAGGTGGAGATATCCACTGCATCAGACACTGACCTTGGCCTCATGGCACTTCAACTTTGGGGGAAAATCAGACTGAGACCTCCCTTACAGAAGAGGGTATTTACTCTGCATTTTGCTGGAAAATCCACCCTAAAACACTGTGTGGCTGACCTAGACCCTCCAGGAGCCACTGGAGTCTTCCCAGTGACTCCAGTTGTCTTTAAGACACGGACACACACAACACACACATAAGCACAAAGCACATCATCATCATCTTTCATTTTGGTTGCTGCTGGTTTCAACTGCCAGCTCCGCAGGAACCTTTTATAACCATTCCTCCTCTTGTCACATCCTCATCGTATGTCAGAGGGAAGCTTATGTTTTTCCATTTCCCCTTTCCCTTGCCCAGTGGTGACAGAGACAAGTGCTATTGGAAATATTTTACAGCCTTCCAAGGAAGACGAATTGCTGCAGCTTGGCACTCTACCAGTCAGCTACCTTCCTTGCTTTGTTCCATGAAAACACTCTCTTATCTATGCAAGCTGATACCTAGATTTTTCAGTGCTGGGTAAGGTTACCTCCTTTATTGATTCTGACTATGGAAACAAAAAGGCCTATTCGTTGAGAAAAACATTCAGGTATTATACTATAACCTACTATGTAGGAATGGCCTGATTTGTTGGTACTGTAGCATTGCTTGATGAAAGCCCTGTGATGTTCAATAGTTAATGCAATCTATCAAAAAAGGTATCATTTATCTTTCAGTTAATCAGAAAGAGAATATATTAGATACTTTAAATAATTAAAGATATTAAAAATGCATTACCAAATGTTTATCATTAAGTAAACCGGCAAAAGAAGAGCAGGATATTTTACAGCAGTCTAAAAATAAGGATGTCTCAGGTATCTCCTCTCTCTCCAAGCATGTGTTAAAGATTTATGGCTCACTTGATGGGAGAAGAGCAAGAGCAATATCGCAGGGGTCAGGCTGACACTACATAATACACTTAGATCACAGAGCTATGCTAACAGAGGCAACCGGCAGAACATCAAGGATGAAAATACACAGGTGAAGTAGACAAAAGAGAAAAGTGAGCACGAGGACAAGAGACTTAATGGTAAGAAGAGAAGGGAACGGAAATGAAGAAATAAGACAGATGAAAAAACATTGCAAAGACAGGCTGCAACCAGAGAAAAACAAAAGGTAACAACTTAAAAGGCAGTGGACCAGTAACAGTGAAAACAACAAAGAGCCAAGGACCACAAAAATCTTGATTTTATTTTTTAGGATAGCAGTTGAAAATCTGTAACGCTTTTACTCATGGCAAGAAGCAGAAGAATCAGCAGGTCAATCTCCCCTACGAGGCAAAAGCTGTGAGAGAAAGAAGGGTAGCTGGATATTTTTTAATGAAAGATCCTGAGCAAACTGCATCATAAAGCAGCCAGTAGGCAGATGAGAAAGTTAAATAAGCCATTTTAATTATCCTTTCTTATTGCATGCTTTCTCACAACACACTGCTCTCATTATGAAAGGGTTACAAAAGTGACATTATCAAGAGGGTGCTCTCTTGGAACAATTAGTTTAATCTAGTGAACACACAACTCCCCTAATTAGCTCAGGAAAGTAAGGATCCAACTGTTCAGCTCTGTAGTATAGACTAAGGAGAGAAAACTGCAGCAAGCAGAAAGCCTGCCAAAGAAGGAAACTACGATGAAGAAATTTCAAATCTAGCTAGAGAGGCATTTAAAAAATAGAGGCTGCTCCAATAAAGACTTTGGGTTTTAAACAGAAGGGACAGAGAAATAAAACACAACCAAATTTTAAGAAGGGGCAGAAAAATAAAGCACAGCCCAAATGGTTGTGTTTTTTTCCTGAAAGGCAGTGCAAAGTATTTTCTTATCAGCTTAATTTTTATGAGTTAACACCTGCAGCAGCATTCAAATGGCAACTAATCCCACTCACTGCAGAGCTCCAACGCTTGTCAAAGCCTAACGTCAAACGTGTCCAAGTATGGAATAAAGCAATCCCCAGTGCAGGGAGTGTGCGATCTGGCTGATATAGAATCGGGCAGTAACGAGAGAGGCTTTGGAGCGGCCTGCAGCAGGACACAGCATGATACCCAGGGAACAGGAATAAACACACCTCGCTCAACCCACACAAAGTTGCTCCAAGACTGCTCAGGAGTTGGAGCTGAACACATGTCCTAGAGAAGGTCATTCCATGTGCTATAGAATTACTATTTTAAAAATACGAATTAAAAAATAGTTTACATAAGCATATTCTGATTGCTTGATTGATTACAATGTAGGAAGGAAGGGACCCCATTCAGCAAGCCTGGGTCTTGTTCAACTGTCCTTCCAATGTACTGTCCCTCTCACTGTACTTCCAGTGTACTTCCACCCTCTCACAACTGATTTCCAATTATTGCACATACCTGTCTGACAAGAGCCAGCTGCAGTGAGAGGTAGAGGATGATTTGGTGATCTTCTGGGGCCAAGTCCCGTGCTCTTTAAGGATGACCACACAACACAAAAAGAAAAGTGACTGTTAGATTGCACTTTGCAGAATTTCTTCACCATGAGCTACACACAAGGACAAAACAAAACCCAGTCTTCCCTCACAGAAACTAGTCCAGTAGCAGGGGAGCACACTGAAACTAGACAAAAAGCAAAACAGTGTTGTGCTGGCTAAGCTAGAGTCACAGGAACAAGTATGTTCCTGTGAACATACTTCAACTGCCAGGATGTTATACAACTTATGTGCTCCTTCATTAAATGCCACTTAATATTTTGGAACTTGGATAACTAATATGGAAAAAGTAGCTCTGAACTCATAACAAACCCATTAGAGCATTCTGTTAAGTAATATATAGGTGATGCACATAGTTGTCCAACTTGTTCCTACACTGCCACTTTTCAAACAATAGAAGAGGGTTAGATTAGGATGGGAAAAAGTAGTCACTATTGTGACTATGAGCATGTAGAGGAACGACCGAGTAGAGGACTAGAGATCAGGAGCCTGTGATAGAAGCTGGTGCTCAAATACACAAAACATTCTCCATCCTGCAGCTTCTAGTTTGATCGTTGACAGTAGATTCCTAATTTGGAAAAGGAAGACACTGAGGGAGGAATGATTTGATGACAGGAGCTGCGCCTGGACCAAACCCAAGGCTCTTACTTCTCAAGCTTGGACTCTGAGAGATTATCTTCTAGTCCACAACAGGCAGCATGCATTGCAATGATCCCTTGACTAGTGAAGGCTGCAATGTTTCCAGAACCACATGTGGAGGCCCTTAACAGTGCAAGGCAGGGAACAGGGATGGACAGCCTGGGCAGAACTGTCCCCTCTAAGACTATGCTAAGCATGGAACTGCAGTCTTGAGTTTGCTAGCCTATGGAGAAGCCATTAACCAAGTCAATGAGAGGACAGTGTTTTGAGGAACCTAGAAGCAATGTGGGGCACTGGCTCACGCCACACTGGCAGCCCAGTCCAAGAACTAGTGGTTTATACCCTCTCTGACTCACAGAGCTCACTTATAGCTCTGCATTACAGGGAAGTAACTTCACATGGGAGAAACAGGGAAGAGGAAAGTCCCTCGCAGCCAACTGACATTCGTGACCTCTTTCTGGGCTGTATTCCAGAACCCCAGGGAAGCCTGCACCTGCATTGCCCTGACCAAAGCGAGCACAATTAATGTTCTTCTGAGGGAGAAATGACATGCTGACAACACTGGTGGTTAAAAATCCTGACAAAACTATTAATTTGCTAATATTAAAACAAATAAGCAAATAAGAAAAAAATTACTTCAGGAAACAAACTACACACCGCTTTCAGGGTAGCCACTTCTCAATTGCCATCTTGGCCTGTGAGCAAGAAGCTGTTGGATTTGACTTTTATAACCAATGGCTCTAGAATAAATTAGTTTAGTATGGACTGAATCTGTCCTGTAATTTTGCAAGTCAAGGTAGCACTCAGTGATTCTGAAGCAATGCCGAAGACATCCAAGTGCAATTAGTGAAGGTAAGTCACTTCCACTTCAAAACACACAAAAAATCCAACCAAAATAAAACAAAAACAACTCCCCCAAAAAATCCAACCAAACAACAATAAGACTCCACAAGACAGAACTCAGCTTTACCCTATACTGTTGGAGCAGGGTGAGCCACCTCTTTACAAAGCAGCTCCCATGAAACCTTCAGTAGCCTCTCCAGCAATAAATACCAGGGAAAAGTTCACAAGAGCATAGCAGAAGAGATTAATGGTGCTTTTGAAAAGAAACAAAGGGTTGTTACTTTACTGCTCAATTTCCTCGCAAGGAATTAGAAGAATATTTGATGCAATCTTCCAGCTGAAAAGGGCCCTTACAAAGATGGCTACAGGCCAAATCACGGCCTGAGAGATCATATATGTACTTCAAAAACAGGTGGAAAAACAAGGAAGATTAAAAAAAGAAAGAAACCAAACTCAGGCATTTAGAAGAACACTAGTAATCAGCTCACCATCACATCCCTGTTGGCTGAGGTCTGAGTAACAAACGCTTGGCTAAAAGCTTGTCTGCTTCCTAGCTAGAGTTAAGATACCATGAAAACAAGTCACAGCCAATGGGAAAGGTCAAAGGATAAAAATAAATGCAGTTTAAAAGCTCTGCAGCACCACAATTACACCAAAATTAGTCAGTAGTGAAAGTATTACATTGGAGTGCAGGAACTAGTGTGACTTAGGAGTATAATCCTGATCTAAATAGTGAATGAATGAATGGCTTTTAAAAATTTTATCTCTCAGATCTCCATAGGGTAAATATTGAGAATTACATCTGTGGTTTCAGCTCTTGCAATCGCTGCAAAACCAGTGCAAGACAAACACGCTGGACTCCTTGTTCAGCATCAGAAAAAACAGCTAAGATTCATTAACATCGTTCAACCTGCTAAATCTGTACTTTGAGATACTACAGATCTCAAATTTTCTACACTTTTGTGACGTATTTATGATCACACCAAACCCAGAATTAGATACTTCAGCCTAAGACTTAGACCATATAAGCTTCCATTTAATTGCCATCCAAAGTCTGTAGGCATCTACACTTAAAATAACTACCCAAACATCACCCTGTGTATTTTGGGTGATGTAACTTAGTCATAACAGGGTCAGGAAGTTCACACCTCATCTCTCTACCTCACAGAACTGACAAAAAAGGGGTTGAACACAAGCAGTTTTACTTGAGGTAACTGTAGTTGCAAGAGAGCTTAATTCACATGTACCTTCAGGGCAGAGCCATTGGATCAGTCACCCCCACAAAACAGAGTGATGAAGAACAGGTGAGTAGTGATGTTTTGTATGTTAGCTCTATAGCTCCTTCTCATAGGACTGCTCATATAAACCACTCATTAGGACAGCAATTATCCCCTCCCTGGTAAGTGCACTGGTGCCAGGTCACCCCATAGCTGCCTACATCCTGATGGTGAAGGTACTTTCCCACCATGAGGGAAACAGGAGTTTAAGAGTGCTTCACACAGGAATTAAGACAAAATTAGCTGTCCATGTTTGCCAGCTGGCATCATGTGCATCATGTCAGGAAGCTGCATCTCCCAGCACTGTAGATCTTACTGCAACTAATTTGGGTCTAAGGTTATTTCTGTTTAGTAGCAGAACAGGTACTCTTACCTTGGACGTTCAATCGAATAATCACCGCATTTAACCATTACAAGAATGGTTTTGACAGACTATTGTTGAAACCTAATGAACTGTTTTTAAACTTTCAGGCAAGGAAGTCTTATGCAGAGGAAAAAAAACAAACATTAAAAACAATTATTCTGAATTTATGCAAAGAAATACACAATGCAAGTATCTGCAAGATTCCTACTCACCTCTCCAAAGTCTGAAGTGCCTTCTTGTTTAATTCATCCTGAGTGCCCTTCAGAATAGCTGTAGAACAAGATATAATGCCATTTAAGAGCTGAATTCAATGTTTCATATTACCTAAATAAATATATAGAGTATTTCAAAATGGGAGCATAAAACCTGTGGAAGTCTGGGCGGGGGTGTGTGTGCATGTGTTCATTTTAACATGAATTCTGAAATTCATTTTTATTAGATTCTTCTAACTCTCTTGTTTGAAATGCTGAAGCATTTCTTTATTCACATATGCCACTGAAGGGGGTTGAGAAGAGAATGGGCCATACACTAACTAGATACCAAGGGTATAACAGACCCTCTGCCAGGCCAGTGTAAATGCTAAAAGCAGTAACCTGCAGCATATTCTGACTCGGATACAGACTGCCTCCACCACCATCTTCATGTAGGAGGGTGCTGCAGGTTGAACAGGGAACACAAGGAGCCAAACTGACAGCTCTATGACAAAAACCTTGACAACACACCACATTCCTTGAGACCACAGACTTTTAGGCTACTTCAGGTGTGACATTAGCCACTAATTCCCTCCTTTGTGCCTCTAATTGATTGAATAACAGAACCTGCCCACTACACTCACTCCTCACCATATAAATTCATTTCTAGCCAAAGCCATAAATGAAAGAGGAGAGTCAAGAGTCAAGCTCTTGTTATACCAGGGTATCATAGGATATCATCATCAAAATCAACAGGAACAGAGGAAGAGCTTAGAGAAGCATCACTTTCTCAGATCCAAAATATCTGGAAGCCTAGTGATAAATTTTCAGAAACGCACTGGCTGTGTTGTGCTGGTTCTTAAGTTTACAGCTTTTGCATAGCAGTTGTTTCTTGTTCTGCCTATCCTGAATTTGAGAATGACTGATCAACAGCACAAAGAAGTGATAAGTAGTTAATCCATCAGCAACCATCTACCTATGAATATATTTGATTTCATACATTAACCCAATGTATGCTCCAAAACAGAAAGTTACTAAGTAGTATATACTTAAGCAACAAAAAAAGATAAAATTCAAGCATTCTTGAAAGTTATTAAGAAGAAAGAGTTGTGTTCTTCTACAAGACCTAAAAAGGTAATCAGTTTCTTGGGATTCTACAACATGTAAGCAAGTGAAACTTTGAAAGTAACTTGTTTTGCTGAAATAATTATAGTGATCAGACCTTTTTTTATTCCTACATCTTCCAACAGTTCTTCAAAATACCAGGTTCATTTGGAAGGAACAGTAATCTTCAGGATATCCCAAATAATAAGGATTATAACTTACTTATACACAAAACCACAAAACCTACTCTAAGTATTAAAAAATGATAAAAAATTTGCATTTTAAAGAATAAATTTGAAGACATGGACTTTCATGTAAAATGCAGCATTTATTAAAAATACTTCACTCTCAGTAGCCTTAAATCAGGCCACTACAGAATACTGCAAAAAGGTAGCAAAGCAAGAAAATTTAGAAAAAAAACTTAAAAGAATGAAGATTGATGTAAACAAAAATGCTTGAGAAGACATTGGAAAGGATTTGATCACACCTATAAACATCCATACAGAAAAAATATGTCAGGTTCTGTTTCTCATGGAAACTACAAGATTTCTTAATTAAGTTACAGAGCAATTCTGGAGATGTCACACAGTAAGGAAGACTGAAAGAAATGTTATTATTTGCCCCTCATGGAAAAGCAAGAACTTCTAGTTGGTAAGACATTTGACTAATGTTCAGCTTGTAGTCAGAAAGAACACAAAATATGTTATGGAAATGAAGTGATTACTCCACAACTAGTCAGCTTTGCCTCTGCACTACTGGGAAATAGCATGTGACTCCCACCTCCTACAATATGGACTGCATCTTCAGCTACCACTAAGTTGAAAATATGGTTGTCCTTCTTTGGATTTGTGTCTAACTTGGATGAACACATTGAAATTTGTGTTTGACAATACTGAGCACTGATGCTGCACATTAACTATGCCATTTACAGGGCCTTTAGAGCTAAAGGAGATAAATAAGGGAAAAAAAAAAGGCAATGAAAAGTGATCTGGGGAGAGATTCATAAAAAGAAGCTTGGCCAGCAGGTTAAGGTGATCTTCCCACTGTCTCTGCTCTCATGAGACTCCACCCAGAGTGCTGTGTCCAGCTCTCGGACCCACAACGTAAGAAAGACATGGGTTCATTGGAATGAGGCCAAAAGAGGGCCATGGAAACAGTCAGAGGGCTGGAATATCTCTCCTATACAGAAAAGCTGATAAGAGTTGGGGGTTTTCAGCCTGCCCAAGAGAAGGCTCCAGGAGGCCTTACTGCACCCTTTTAATACTGAACGTGGACTTATAAGAAAGACAAAAAGAGGGGATTTTTGGATATTTTTTGTTTGTTTGTTTGTCTTTATTTTTCTTACCAGGGCCTACAGGGATAGGACAAGGGGTAATAGTTTTAAACTAGAAAGATTTAGATTAGATATTGGAAAAAATTCTTTATGATGAGGGTGGCAAAACACTGGAATGGATTGCCCAGACATGTGGTGGATGCCCCAACCCAAAGAAACCTGCAGCCCACTTCTACCACTGAAAAGCTCTCATTTCAGACATAGAAAAGCTTGCTAAGGAGACAGAATTAGGGGGGTCTGAATAAACTTCTAAAATTTGCTCTCCACTCTCTGAGGTTGACAGCACTAACAAACTCCTCAGCCTCTAGCCCAACTTTATCCACTGCGAGCACGGCTGCTGCAAGTTCTACCAACTAAAACACAGTATGACTTATTATTTAGATTAAAACAACCTGCAAAACAGTCTGACCAATGGGAGAATCGCACAGGGGAGCTCAAGTTTCTGAAACTTCAGCAGGTACTCCCGTAAGACTCAGTACTTTTGCAAATGCCACCTGAGCAGCCCAAGATTTATTTTCTAAAGCATATTGGGTTTTTAAAGGACCTTCAATCTTACAAAAATTCAACAGGATCTTGAATATTGGTACTTAAATACGAAACTCTGAAGTCACATTTGAAAACAGAGGAGGATAATTTTTGTGTTAGTAAGCAGGTTGTGCATTCACATCTACCATGCTCTGAGTGAAATACTTAATGCTGAGGATCAGTATCAACACTACAAACATGGGGACAAGCATCTTCTAGTCTTGTCCAATGGACTGAGTACCCATTAGCAGCTGAAGCATCATCAGAGCTATTTATGTAACATATTAGTTTTATGGGAAAGAATTTAGCTTGTAATGTGCAAAACTGGCAAAACTGTTCCATTATGTGAATCATAACATAAGAAGCAGGGATGACAGACAGATGGGACTTCAAAAATACATTTCTGATCCAAACTGAAACACCGATGTGCATGCACCCTTTTGCAAATATCAGTGGGTTTCAAAAACTATTCCCTTGTGTTAAGACCCCTAATAAATACGGCAAGACACACAGTTTTAGCACCCAGAATTATAATTAAAGATTGTATGTGCTCTTATCTCCAAAAGCAAAAATGATGAGTTTGTTCACTAACAATTTATTAACTTTCTAGTGAAAAAATATGAGAGTCTTTTAACATTAACCAATGCTGTCAGTATGCTGTTTGTAAAATCCCCATGGACTGACAGAATATCACTTTCCAATTTAGTCCCTGATCCATGGCCTTCTACCAAAACTCTAAATGAACACAGAGATACAGCACAGTCCATCTCTGAAAAAAGAGTGAGGGACTGTTAAATCTACAAAGATTTCACAACTTGTGAGGTGGTCATGTGAGACAAGAGCACTTGTATTTCATAATACACCCTCAGGCCAATCTTTACTCTTTAGCCTTTGTTGATTTCATCTCACTTTTCCCTGGCTTCAAGGGATTCTTCACCAGACCTAGGGGAGGCAAACTTGATAATACAGCTTATGTTAGAACTGGAACTACAAGAGGAAGAGAAAAGGTTTGCTGTTGGTATTGACCCATTGGGAACAGATCTGCAGAAAATGGACATTCAGTACAAACCAGAGGTTTATGCTTCTAAGAGTGAGACAAAAGCGCCAATGAATTCCTCTGAGGACACATCTTTCAGCTACTTCAATGCAACTTTTTTCAAGAAACCTGTAATTAGACATTAAAAACAGGGAAACTATATACTGCTACCCAGCATAAGCTTCAGGAAGTCTTATTTCCTCCATGAGTAAATCTAATAGTTGTAGAGTGACTTTTTATCAAATGCTCCCACTAAGTTGTTTGAATTGTCATTCAGCAGGATTCTCTCTTATGACTCTGTTTTTTACCAAGTGCATTTTGCAGGTCACAAAGAAAAGGCTTTAATACAACTCCTCAGTGCCTTTGTCACAGAGGAGGAGAAATAATTACTGAAAGGATATATTAAATAAGAAAATCTAACCTTGGATGGAAGGCATCTTGATATAATGTTGTAAGCTTTAGAAGGCAATTGGTCAAATGTCTCCGAAACACTTAGCTACCATTGAAAATGCTGATTCACTGAAAGTCAACTCAAGTGGAAAGTTAATAGAAATCATATGTATACATACAGACGTTTGACTGTGTCTGCATATGTCACTATGAACTGGTATAAACACAATGATAAACAAGATTGACAATATGAGGCAGGATTACATATGGGAGAGGAGCTGTCATCTTCCTTTCAGTATGTTCTAGCCTTGCTTCCTCATTGTCATATGCTATTTTTTTAACGATGCTAATGAAAAATGTCTTGCTAGTGCAGATTTGACATTTTCTAATTCCATATTCATGACCATCACATGTATGCTTTTGAAGGACCTAATCCATTTTATTAAAATATATTCTGAAAGATGGAAATACACTCTTCCTATTTCCCTCAAATAACTGACTGGTCCTGTTGACTTAAAGGCTAGAGATACGAGGAGAAGACAGATATTCCACTGTTCCACAACATAAATCAGATGCTAATCTGGAAAAGAATCCAAGGCAGTTGTTGTAAAGACTGGGGTTTTTTACATTAAAATGGACACAATACTGAACTAATCTCTTGAAAACTCAAGAGACAACCAGAAGAGTTTCCAACTCTAATTTTGCTACACCAAAGTTCTTTTAAAGCCAGAGTACAGCACATGCCTCTACAACTCCATTCTTTAGAAGCCACCTTCTTTTCATACTGAGGATAACAAATAGATCATAAGGGACTAACATAGAAAACCTCCTATATCTCTGAAAATAGTAATTGGAATCTTGCATAGCTATAGGAACAGTTTAAACAAAATCTAGAAAAAATGCCCTAAAATAATAGGCTGTTAAGCATAACTTTATTTCTAACTAACTTGAAAATATGTAAGAGAAAGTACAGGCTAGGAAGGATGCATTTTTTGACATGAACTTTCTAAGGAGAACTATTTTGAGGCAGAGAAAAGGGGAACTGGAGAGAGGTAGAATGCCGGTTATCCTCCAGGATGAAAATCAGTCCTCAGAACAGCTGATCAGATATGGCTGCCTGAAAAACTACACCAACTTTCACTACTGAAGAGCACAAGCCCCTTTATCATGAACATGTCTTGGAGAATTCTGGTGTAACTTGAAAGGCCAGCATACTTCCATGACACCATAATACAGTCATTTTAGCTTTGTTTCAGGCTTCTTTGCTGGAAGAAGTTGGTTTGTTTCTGTGGAACCCATGTGACAGAAAAGCCATTGTTTGCATGAGGGCAGGACTGCCAAACTGATTAAGAAACACACTAGCCCAGCCATTATTCAAAGAAACTACATTATAAGGCCTTCTACCTATGTTAGAAGTCATAGAATAAACAAAGACTGTTCCCACCTGTGAGCTTGATGAAGGTCAGAGCCAGAACTCTCCTAAACACTGAGACTTCAAGCCCTTCTGGCTACCAAGGACCAAATCTGCAGAAGCCTGTTGTCCAGTCATTCAAGACCCAAGCAAGCAGCATTTAAATAAAATACTTCTTACATTCAGTGGTCTGCTTCTAGTCAACATCCACACTTACCAGTGAGGTAGATATTTTTATCTTGTTTACTTCTAAGTAGAGAAAGAAACGACATCACAGAGAGGTTGAATCTCTGTGGGGAATCAGTATCATGCCAGGAACTGAAGTCAGGCATCTCTGACTCCAGTTCTTGGATTGTATTTCTTTGTGATTTATGGGTGGGTGACAAAAATATGAAAATAGATGGGAAGTCCGACTTTTTGTTGTGTAAATAAGTGAAAGAAATGTATTACAAATATTCAAGTAAAGCATACCAAGCACCGGCAGCTACACTCAGATTATCATCACCTAAGTACTGATCTGCATTTCTTCCTTTACCTAAAAACTTCAGTTTTACTACCACAGTTCTCTGAGCAAGTGAACAATCTCCACTTATCTTGCAATCTGATTGTTTTTCATGTCTAGTCAGCACTGAAAGCAGATTTTCTAACAGATTTCCATTGCTTGCACTGAAGACTTTGAACAAATGCTCTCCATACAACACACTTGACAAAGAGGGTAACTCACCATCAGTAGCTTGAAGACTGTATGTCAGGCCCAGTGCCAGGTAACCCTTTGCTAGGGACTCTCCAGCATCCTCACCCAGGTCTATCACCATTTTAGCAAAGTGTTCTCCTTCTTCCAGCTGCAAAAGAGGTAGGTTGAGATTTACAGGCATTTCCTCTATACTTGCTGCAATAAGATTATACCACTAAACTTACCTGTAAGTGATCTGAGAGCCGTTCACACAAGGGCTTTCAGTGATCTCAGTGAACAGTCACAAAAAGGATGACGTAGAAGGTCAGATTAGCAGACCTTGGTGCACATGCACAGTTTTGAGAAAACTTTTTGTTTTGCACCCCAAACTATTTCCAGATGTTAATCAAGGACACTATCTTACTTCTATAGTTCCCTTCAGACACACTTCAATCATGCAACCTTAAATACACAAGTTGGACTAGCTGGACTATCCTAGCAGTACATTGAAAGCTCTAATGGGTCTCTTCCTTAAAAATAAACACAGTCCAGTTTTATATTTATGTTTTTTTTAAACCTTAGCAAATTTTACCTCCTTTTAAAATGCTACTAGAGTAAAACAAGAAAGCACTAATTTCAGCACATTCTCCTCCCCACAACTTTGCTTTCCAGCTGTCCACACAGATTTATTAACATCTGTAAAATCTGAGTTAATGGTAATTCTAAACAAAAAGAATAAATTGACTATTTTATTACAGAACAGTGTTTCTTATTTCTAACTTTAGAGTCTCACTACCACCACTCACTCGTTATAAGTAGAAAGGACTAAGACCTGTAGACGGTACATACCTAGAAAGGTGCAGGTTGGAGAGGTACAGGCAAAGCTGTAAGTAATGCCTGAAAGACAGAGCCTACAGGAAGATCGCCCTTCTGTACAAGACAGTATGCAGTTCCTGTCAACCATGAGAGTCATCCCTAATCAAGATGCAAACATCATTCCACTATCGGAAAAATCCTCCTTTTGGAAACTTTTATTGCATGACAACTGACTTCAAGGAATGGGGTTGTTTAATTTTGAGAAAGTACTTTTTTGTTTGAAAGCCATTTGGTTTAGGCACAAGTCCTGCAGATGAGCCCTCTTAATACTCAGCTTCATCAGACTTCAGTACCTAGCGGCTCCTTAACATCTAAAATGACTCACCCATAACAAACTCGAATCAAAATGTACCAGCAGACTAGAAATTTCCCTTCCACAGAGATCTGTTAATATGCTACCTATGAACAGAATCTACTTGACTTGACATAATATCCTGTCAATGGGCCTCCAAGTCACATCACCTGAAGACATTCAGGTGACAATATTAACTAATGGTTTCATAAATAAAGGAGCTGGGATTTATTAAACTCCCTGAGGCCATACAATTCAAATTAGATGTAGACTGATAGTCCCCAAATTTCTGAAATCTCAAATCAGTCAGTCCAATGTATATGTTATCATCAAACTCTTTCCTGAAAGCACTTTGAAATCATTACAGTCTTGCTCATTGCCCAGTCAACTATTAATTGAGAAACTACTAACTGAAACAAGAATATCCCCTTGGGGAATACCTGGGTTACAAACTAAACTGCTACGACTGTCTTTGAGTCCAAAGTCTACCCAAACCACCAGAAATAGTCCTACTGACTTCAGTGATGTTCAGATGAGACCCTTTAAACTCTGACCACATAAGGAAGACAGAGATTCATTTCAAGAGATTTCTTAATATTGTCAGTAGCCCTACTGACTTCCCTGCCACAAACTGAAGTGTGTTCTGGACCAGAGCCTAGGACAATAGAGAAGAAAATGTCCCATGACTTCCCACACAGAAAAAAAAACAAACCAAAAACCAAAACCTACAAACCAACAAAAAAACCCCTTCTATGAAAAAAACCCCCTGAATTCTTCAGCTCTCAGGAACTTTTATGTAAGACATGAAATCTCTGCAGCCCAAAAATTCATTATGCACCTCTTTGCCACCATAAACAGCTATATTCCCACTCTCTTTCTTCATTGTTTATCCTTTTCTCCCCCCCACACACTTTCATTCAAGAAGTCTCCATTAAATGAAGAAAAGAACTATACAAGGAATTCTAATGACTAGTGAACAAGGGTAGGGGTGGGTAGAGTGTATGAAGAAAAAGATTAAATGACAGGTTTGGAGCTGAAATGGAGACATTTAAATTGGAGAGATTTTGCTCCATTGTTTCTTTGAATGGTCACCTGATGGTATTTCCAGCCTCTGACTGATGGCCTATGCTACATAAATCAGCAGTACACCATTCAGCCTTCTTGCCTGCCAGTTATCCAGGGCCACCTGTCAGTGTCAGATTAATCTAATGTTTGAATAATTAAAACTACAACTTTTCAGAATGGCTGAAACAGCACTTCCAGCACATTCTTGAAAACATTTATTCCTATTAAACACTAATGGCACTTTGACTAGCCACAAAGATTCTTATGAATGCAAACTTAGGTCAGCTGAAGTCTGCTTTGAAAATAAGTGGCCTTGCAAACTCCAGCACAGCTGGTTCTGTTTATGAGAACATTTACTTTTCTTTCTTTCAGCATTGAGACACTTACCCCGCCAGCCCTGCTGCGGCAGCCATCTGCCCCCTCTTCTCCCATTTTCCTACTCTTCAATCATCCTGGGCAAGTGTGAAAAGCCAAACCTTTCACTCACATCACCCACTGTGAGGTTCAACTCTGCAGTGCATCAGTCTTGCTGATTGCCTAGTCAACTGTGAATCTGGAAACTACTATCTCAAACAGGAATAACCCCCCTGGGACACACTTGGAGCTACCAACTAAACTGCAAGGAATACCAGATTGCAGTCTGGATGAAAACTCCCTCTCCACACACCCAAGTGAGGGACCAGCAATGAGCCTGAGCTGTGATCTGCCAGTAAAGCTGTGTCTGTGGGGGTCCTTAAAGATATGAGATGTCTCCACTCTGTATTGCAGTGATGAAAAAGGGAAGGGGGAAGCCATCAAATGAGGCATCAACCCCTTCGGTGACCCATCAGATAGAACCATTCTCCTCCATGTTGCTACATGACCTGAAGCAGGAGCTGCTCCCTCTTTCTCCTCTCCCCATGTGGTGCCAGGTATGTAAAATTTCACCCTATGGGACTCACAGAAGTTGTGAGCTCAAGGTACATAGAAGTGAGCTGAGTGGCAGAAAGCTTATCAGGAGAATCAAAATGTCCATTCCTACTCCTGCTGCACAGCCAGGAGCCAGCCTCAGTATGAAGGGCACCTAAGTGATTCATTCACTTCAGAAGAGTACTCCAATGGTAAGGTGACATAATACTGCATTGGAAGGGCAAGAAACATCATTAAAACTTCCTGTTGCAATTTACAGGCCCTTGCCAGTAAGCTTCTGCACAGCAGGCATGGCACAGCATCACTTTGTGATTAGGAAATACACAGTGTCCTGCTGTTACCTGGTTGCTAGCAGTTCCCAATACCAGAGAAAAGATACTTTTTTTGGCCAGTAACAGCTAGAATTCAGTTTCCTTAGTGTCACTACTTCTTATTCTCTCAGAAGCAAGCAAGAAATGAAGTCTCAAAGCCATACAGATATACCTCCAATTTGGCCCTTACTGTTCTTACACTCTTCTGCATACCTGGCACTGAAAAGCTGATGGAGAGAAGGGCAGCAGGTTGCAGGGAGAAGTTCCCTGCTTCCAAGACTTGCATGGAAGAAAGTTCAGAAAGCATGCATAGTGGAAAAAGAACCTAAGAGGAACTTTTTGCACTTTGAACTCAAGCTGTATAAACTGTCAGGAGGTACCTGGAAGCACTAGCTAAGAAACATCTCCACCACACCAGAAACAGGCAGACACCTGGCACGTGGAGAGAGACAGACTGCTAAACTGAACTCACACCAATGAGGTGGTAATACTGTGAGGCTGGTTGGTTTTTTTCCCCTTCTACTGCTCCATCATGTTTGATAGAAAAAGAACAATTGCTAGCTGTGTTACCCTGAGGGCTGTTTCCTCTGGTACAGAGACTGGCTGTTCCAGCCACCCTTGTTACTTGACTGCAGCTTTTGGTGTGTGCTCCAGCCAAGCCCAGGGGCATACTGACAAGGGAGTGGAGAACAGCAGGTGCTGTCCCCTGGCCTAGTGCCACCCAGCTGGTTTCCAACTGCCACCCAGCTTGTTTTTAGAAAAGCTCAAGCCCTACCCCACTGAATCAACACCCTCCAAGACTAAGTGAGAGCTGCAGTTCTCACCAGCACACATTTAGAATAACTGAAGACAAGCAAATTGATGATGTACAGCAGTATGAAAATGGCACCTTGCTGCACCAAAAAAGAGGAGCACACAAGGGAAGAGGCAGGAAATACATCAAATGATACTGGACTTAGGACAGCAGACAAGGTTAGTGAAGTAGGTGAGTTTGGACACCAGTGACACTGAATGATACCCAAGTACTTAAGTGACCCAAATCCTATGAAAAGGGTATCTATGCAAAATTACACATGATATTACCTTGTTGAATTGACATCTTCTTTTAATTTTCATGACTGTAGGTATAGAGAATAATTCAAAGAGAAGAAAATAAATATTGTGAAAAGAGAATGTTAAGTGGAAAAATTATAGGAAGAAAGTGATCAATAAGGTATAGTCTAATGAAAAGGTTTTGTCCCACAGATGTTTACAGCATATACAGCTAATGACATGTTACCTGTGTCAGAAAAAAAAAAAATCCTGTGTTTTCTATGGTTGGTCCAGTCAGCATTTTCTTTGTGTCACCAGTGTAAAGCCCAACAACTTACTCTGTGTCTAAGCTCAGCCCTCAGCACTTAGGAATACTCAGGCCTTTCCTCCATTGTAGTGAGAGTGGTTTGTTCATAAAGAAGATGTATGGAAGGAAAAATTCTTGGTCATTTTTAATGTTTAAAACCCATGGGATTGCCCCAGTAACAGTAGCGGTGATGTAAGCAAGAATGTCTTTTAAAAGACAGAAGAAATCTCTAGTAGCTCCTTGCCATTCATTGCTTTCTCAGTAGCTTCTCACCCCAGGGACATCAATCCTCTAGAATGTCCACTCAGCAGGCAGAATAAATCTGGGAACAGGACTAGATTTGATCTTTCAATACTATTCATACTGCAATAAGACCTAAGCATTTCCAGGCAACTTCAGGGCTCCTAAGTGACTGGGTACAAGCACATGCACAGCACTTATTATCTACAGTGGCAGGGTCAACAACAGACAGAAGGAGAGAGAAGCACTCTCTGATTAAGTGGTCTTTGAAAGTAACGAATGATAAGCTATTACCTCAGAAGTATGCATGCATCTACATGCTGCCAGCCTCCCCCAACACACACACACACACACCACGATGTCCTGACCTCACGGTATGTCTTACTCAGTTTTTATGACTCCACGCATGGTCTGCCCTGGCCCAACACCGCACTTCTCCCTTTCCCTGACATTCCCTGTCTTCCCAGCAAAGTGCTGGAGCAGAACATTTCGCTGTGCATATCAGTTGAAAGAAATGAGGGAAAAGTCTCAGGCACAGCACCATCTTGTGCTTCAGCTTTCGCAATGGGATGAAGTCCCTGCAAAAGTGCATACCAGCTGGTAATTCCGGCATCATTCAGTGCTACGCAAGTTCTACACAACACCACTATTGCTATTGTATCAACTGTGGTGCAATGAAAATTGCAAGAACATGCCTCATGTTGTCCTGGTTTCTGTCAGAGCAGAGTTCCAGAAGATTCAAGCCTATCCTAGCACTGCAGTCCATTTCGCTTTGTGTGTATTTACAAGGTTTTTAATGTGTCTCCATTGAAATCAATAGACTAAAAGACACAGGAAAGCATCACAGTAATCCTAAATGCTTTAAATAAGGCTCCTAAAATGGAGAAATTCAATATCTAACACTTGCCTGTAGGCTGAAATTCCTTTTTTAGTATTTTCACAAGACCTGCCATAACAGGATCCTGGAGAACCTAGATTAGTAGTGAAATTAACAGTACTGTACTATTAAAATATTAAAAACAACAACTCATGCTGCAACTCAAAGTCACTGCCAAAATAGGCAAGTGAGCATTCAGCTGAGGCTGCGCCAGGGAAGGCTGAGTGAAAGAGCAAATTGCAGGAAGCCTTTTAGCAAGCGGAACTCTGAATTTATAGTGGAGCAAAGCAGGACAACCTCAGTATGGACATATTCCAACGAAAGCTACTTCAACTTTTTTCCTATGAAAATTTAAAACAATACTCTGAACTACAATACTCAAAGACTTCCTAGTGCATTCTAGAAAGCTAAAAGACAGCTGGCTAAACACAAATGGGCTTTGTGTTCACATGACAGAAATCACCCACATGCAAATTCAGCAAACGGCATGCTGAAACCCAAGCAAACTGGAAGGCTCAGCAGCATGACGCCTCAAAAGTAATTCTGAGCCCACTACAAACACATTTGTAACACCTGTGTAATGGGCTAGATACAGTATATAAAAATTCAAACTTTGCTGAAAACTTTTGTATTTGTATTAGGTACAGGCCTGACTGCATCCTGACCATACAAATGTGGCTTATATAGGTGCACTAGTTTTGGAGTTTTCTGGTCCTCCAAGACTACTGGCTTAAGCTTTAGAATGAATCAAGTATTGATTTATTGTTTACACCTTGTTTTTTTTTTTTTTAAGATTTTGAAAACCTGTAATTCTGAAAAAGGTAACCAAAACACTGCTTATACCATTCAGTTGTTTACTGCAGGCCCCATCCTAAAAGCTAGTGGTTGATGGGGCAGATCATCTCCTGATGTAAGCCAGCATGGTGCCACTAATATGCCAGTGGAGTAGTGCCAACTTACATCAGCTAATAATCTGGTCATACTGTCACAACAGAAGCTGGGGGCGGTTCAGTTCTTTTCCGCATCAGGCTCTGTTATACATCAATTTGCATGGCACTGTATGAATGTATGCATGTTTTCACTTTGATTTGTTCTCCATTGAGGGATTATTTCATAGATGTGATCTGAGCATCCTCAGTGTTGTAAATCACTACACTACATTTCAATTAATTTTTTTCCCCTGGTTTTTAAAGTGTGCTGAGACATCATGCACAAAGCCAACAAAACGAGTTAAGTGATCACTAGATTAATCATGAAAGAAACTGTTCTGTGCTTCTTATGACATTCTGTAATTATCCAGCTGCATAAATGTGTTTTGGGGTTTTCTTTATTGCTAGTAACTGAAAAAAGACTAAGTACTGTTTGCCCATGGGCTATAAACAAACTGGATATAATACTGCACCAAAAGCATATAGTAGACAGATGCAGGACATAAATCAGCTGTTTAATTTGGATAAATGTTGATCTGATTTCACCCTTTTCCTGCCTAGCCAGCAATCAAATACATAGATATATTTCCTAATTGAGAAATTAATCATGTTTTATATGTTCTGAAAAGCAAGATGTATTTGAGTATCTGCAACTGTTAATATTTGTCCATTAGACAGTTCCCGTGCCATGTCTATCCCTCCTTTCTATTTATACTGGCATTGATCAACTTGTTCACTTCCAGTTTAAATTATTCAATTCTGATTTGATTGCCATGTAATTTAAATGCAAATAATTACTGTAAGGATGACATTTAGAAAAACAGCTCTGCTAAGCAGGAAGGTCTTTATTAGTCACAGGAGTCTGGCAGTAATATCAGAAGCATCCCTTTGACTGTGAGATGTGGGAACCTATCATTTCAGTTCTTTTAAAAGATGCTCTGATTTCCCTCTGACTCCCCTTAATTAAAACTCTTCTATTCCATCATCAAATTTCATATGAGGGTAGATCACAGGCCAGTGACTGAAAGGAAGAGAGGAGAGGAATATTTTTAATTTGGTTTTAGTTCATAAGGTTGTGCTCTAGATAACTGCAGTAAAATTACCCTCTTGTGAAATCATGTTTTCATTTCATACTGCACTCTGGTTCTAAGCCACAGTCTGATTAAGTAACACTGAAAAAGCAGTAGATAAAAGAAAAAACCCTCTTGCTTTGCAATAGTCAAAAAAACAGCTCATTTTTTCCTTCTTCCCTTTCTTATTTTTTAGGGTTCGCCTTTTGCTTTACCAGCTCTGCCATATATGAGAAGTCTGAAGACACGGGATTGCCCAAGGACAGAGGTGGAACTGAATTACAGCCTCACTGTCTTTTCTAAGTGTCTCTATAACAAGGTATTTTTTATATCCTAGCTGTGCTTTGAAAACTTCATCAGAGACACTAGTAAGCCTGGTCAACACAGTTGTAATGCCTGGCTTTCACATTGTTTTACATGTATAAGAACAGAAAAAAACCTTATTTGCTTCATTTTAAAAAATAATATTCACTGTGAACATTATTTTATATCACTGAATAACTTTCAGCCCTCAAAATTTAGATACTGAGCTATGGGTACAAAGCTAAATTGCTCGTATGTAGAGCAGAGGTAGGTTGGGTAGTTCAGGAAGGATTCTCTGAAGGCCCTCAGACCTAGAAGATTTTTCCTAGAACAAGATGCTGCCCAGTTCTTGCTGACTCATATATAAGTTTAACCATTACAGTCTGAACAGCTTAGTTCATTCAAAAACATACATAACCAGATGGCCTTCCTCATGGTGGTGTCAATTGACAGAACTCAAGTTTAGCTGAACACCAGCTTTCACCACATAGGGATGGAGAGGATGGGGAGGCAGGGGTAAGAGGGCACAACAACAGCAAATGTGAAAGAACTTTTCACCAAAATCTGGGCAGATTCTTTTAGTGTTTTCTTTCATGTTTTCTTGCATCTTTGTTTTACTTTTACTAGCAATTGTAATCCTTCATTGACTGCAGGGACACCTCGTGGTGAGGACAGGTGAGAACAGCAGGCTGCTATTCAGTTAATTAAACCAAGTAGCAAAAGAGTGACAGATGTTTCTGCTCCTTTGGATAATCAGGGGCACCAACTTCCACTCCCACTCTTCTTCTGGGGCATACATTAACACATCCAGAGCACAAAACACTGACACATCAACTTCAAGAACACAGGACTGAGTTGTCCAGTGGACTCAAACTGTCTAACAGTCCACTTATAACTATTAACTTTTTTCTTCCAGGGGCTACGAGAGTGGCCAATTCAACACAACACTCAGTTGAAGAAGCAGTCCTCAGCATGGCTGTTACGGCTTTCCACCCTCCTCCTTTTTTTTAATATGCCAGTAAAACACATTTCAACAACTCGCTGCAAAATTTCTTGCTGGGATTTACACTTTTTTTAAAAGGCACACATGTGCATGATTTTTAGCAGGGATTCCCTTTCTTCCCACTGCAACTACACTATGGCACTGCCGCTGCAGAACCTGATCTGTTACATAATAAGAATTGCATCAGCTTGCTTACCCAGTGCAGCGACCCAATGCAGACCTTGGCAGCCAGAAGAGGAACAGTGGGATCCGTAGGTCGCAGTTTAGCACATTCTTTGAGCACTGACACAGCATATGCCGACTGGAAGAGAAGTGGGAGAGAGAAGGAGGAAATAAAAAAGGCTGATTAGACAATGCTGTTACAGAGTCCAAGCAAGATATTTCAGTGACATGTACAAAGAAGTACTATGGAGAAAAGAATCACGTCAGCAACAAGGTAGCAACTTTATTCCCGCCTCCACACACAGACATGTGTGTGCACATGTGCACACAAACACATGCCCTTCCCACGCTCAGAGGAAACACACCAAAGAGCCAGCCCTGGCTGTGCACAAGAAAGTTTTCCTTAGCTGTTAATGCACTGGTTATTTTAACTCTGCCCTCTCAATATACAAGAATTCTGCTATAGTTTTCTTTGCACATAACTATGTCCCAGTAAGACAGATCATAAACAGCTTATCCTCCAGTACATTAACATTTTAGGCCAACTCTACTCAGAGAGGTTTATGCAGCTAAAGTAATCTGCCTGGTAGATTGTTTTATGTCTTCTACAATTCCAGGACATACAAGAATACAACTGGGACCCCACCATACAAAGGGTGGAGCAAGCAACTGCACATGAATACACTGTTCAGTGGGCAGTCCAAGCAAGATACTTCTTAGAAAGAAAGCCCATAAAACTCTTGCTGTCTTCCTGGTGTTAGGTTACCATTAATGAGGACACTTATTAAGATTAGCAGTTACACAGCTGTTATGATTCAATGTGCTCTGCAAACATTGCTTTTTACAGCACATACTCATGGCTGCCACATTTCAGATGGTTTAAAGTAGAACGAGGAAAGCTCTGGTCTGAGATGGTGGTATGAAGACCTAGTCAGCTGATGAGGAGACAAAAGAAGTTACCCTATCAGTCTCCCAGCCCATCCCACCTGAACCACAGTTTCTATCATGATTAAACCTTCCTCACTACTGATCCCTGATCCACTCAAATTTTCTCATCCTTGAGAAAGGAGAAGTTTTATTCTTTTAGAATTTCTCCTTGCATGCCCCTTTCCTCCTAAACTCTTCCACATAGTCCCAAGACACATGCAGGCCTCTCTGACTCAGTGTTCCTGCTCAGCAGCACATTAAATAGTCATGGCCTTTCCATAATACAGGAGAGCGGCAACAGAAGCTTGTAAAGTCAAAATAACAGCTATTCTTATCAGGTCCCAGGCATCTCCTCCTGGCTCCCAGAGGCTCTCCCTACCAGAATTCTGACCAGCACAGGCATCTGAGTCTGGTGTCTGCTGCAATTCCCTGCATGGCAGCTTCCCACCAGACATCAGCACTTCCTCTCCCTCCCGCCAAACCAAGTTGGGCTGCACCTGCTGCCTCCTTTCTCCACAGAACTGAAGGTCCACCTCTTGCTACTGCATTTAAAAGCCTGGTTAGGAATTTGCTTAGAAGGGAGTCTGAAAAGATGGAAAAACAGATGTACACCAGCCATGCTCATACTAAGAGGGGTTTCATAATCAAAGATCTGAGCTCCACGGCAGCAGAGAGCAAACCCTGCCACTTGAAAAGCACACTCTGATGCGTGGTCTGAAGAAGAGCAACAGCATGCCCTATGTTCTTCCTCTTGCTTCCCCTTACCTAGAGCATCAGGTATGATCAATAAAAGTAAGGAAATAGTTGCCATTTTACAATTCAAAACGCACAATTTGCCTAAAGCCAGAAGGAAGCTCGTCTCAGAGCAAAGATGGGAATCAATAAACTTTGTCCTGGAGCTTGAACCATTACCTCATTCCTCTCAGAAATAAAGACATGGGTAATTCAACTCTTAGATACAGGAAGGAACACATCACCAGGCTTTGCTGTCACAAGGTGACTAGCATCCCTCAGAATGAACCTCTCTGACATCTATTTGTTCATAACAAGTGGTATCTCAGGTTTTAATGGTATCTTACTCCTCTCTCTCACAGAATGCTACCTGCATTGCAAGCAGCTGGTATTCCCAGTAGCATACTGGACATGTTGGAAATCCAAGCGTAACTCCACAAGGAACCTACCTGGCACATCATCTTCTTGCTCTTCTACATATAATCTAACCTCACAGGTGCTTCCAGAAAAAATAAATGTGCCAGCGGGACAACATGCACCATGACAGTCAGTATATCTGCAACTGAACTCCATCCATCCTTGTCATCTCACCATGCAAAAGTGAATTAAAAAGGCCAGATATGTAAAAGACACTGTCCATAGTCAAAGGTTGCAGAAACAGACACAAACTGAACCCAGTGGTGGTCTTTCAGCTCCCCATCAGCAGCGTGACTGCAGGGAAAGCAGGAGGCACCTGGGAGCTGGTGACAGCTCTCCTGTGGGTCAGCACAACCAGCACTAGCACAAACCAAAGCAGTGACAGGCCTGTCCTAATTTGGGCCACAGCTGTAGGACTTCCCCAGGTCTACATCAGAAGAAAAGTGATACAAGTCCCAAGTCTGCTCAGGAGGCAACTGCAAAACAGTGACTACTCAATGCTGCAAAGCAGAATGTCCCAGCCTGTGTCTACACCCAAACACCTCAAATGTGGAGTCACTTTATTACATGCACTCGGGAGCTTCTGAACGTGGGTTTACAAGAGTGAAAGCCACAGTTTCCACACTGCTTCTTAAACATTTACAAAGTTATGTCACTTTAAAGAGGTTTATAAAATTTGCAACTAAACATATGGAGCAGAAGGGGTTTTAGAAACAGAGTGATATGAAGCCTTTCTCCCCAGCTGCATTTTAAAAATTCAAGAGCCATTATATAATTTCACCTTGAAAACTTTACTCAGCAGATATTTTATATAGATGATGAAAATGTTAGTCAAGGAATGACAGGAGAAATAATATCCCACTTCCACAGTGACCTTACTTAGGGGAGACTGGCATGACATATAGTATCAAGGTTTCTTAAAGGTACTAATTACAGACATTAATATCCAGGGGAAAAATATTATCCACTCATTACTGAATACAGATGTCATTGGTTTGTAAAAATACTTAATATGAAACAGTGTTTGTACAACATCGAAATAATCTGATAATTAAAATGTACATATTCTTTCACTTTAGTGTGGGTGGACCAGGCAGCCAAGCACATTGTTTGTGAGATTCACTGCAAGGCAATAATAATTAGATTTATTGGTGAGGAATGTTTTGAGAAGAGCAGAAATTGAACTCCAATGCAGTGCATGCTTCCTACTCATAATTCTGAGCTTTAGAGGGCTCACATCATAATTCAAGACAGGATTTCAGTTCTTTCTGTTTAGCTTGCTAATTGCTGGATTATAATGACTGCACTGGAACCAGTTCCCAAGGACTTCAGAAAACTAGGGATTTGCCTCTGGGTCTCATTTGGCCTCTCTCTGGGAAGAAGGCTTTTAACGTTCCCTCAAACACACACAGACCTGTTAAACAGACGTGGTTTAAAAAAATGGCAAACTTGCTGACAGCTGCCTCATGGGGGTTTAAATTTTGCTTATGGGAGGTCTAGTGTAGAAGTTCTAAGCCTTGGCATCTTCATCAGATTTAAGATTCATGACCGTCCTCCCTTTGTTATGACCAACAAAGCACACAGTTCAAATCAGGTTATGGAGTGGAAATGCTGTTCTAATGAGAATGTTCAGCCATTGAAGAAATTTCAAAAAGAGTAAGGGACTTAAGAATTTCAAATACCTGATTGGGCATCTCCATCCTTCCCATAACAACAACTTCAGGGTTTTTAAAATGGAGACAAAGATGAACATGGCACTACTGTTGCATATTTAAATCCAAGATCTGTACAAAGCCGGTTTTCTTTGTCAATTTTCCCCTCATCTAATCTACTTACATACCATAGTTTTCTTCTGTGGAGATCACAAACATCCTTTACAACAATTTCTGAGAAAAAAATTAGGCAGTTTCTGGGAAGTAGAAAGCAATACTGATAAATGGTTGCTTTTGATACCGGCTTCTGAAAGAGCTGTATGTACCACATGCAATTTAGGGGCAAGGGCACTTCTTGATCTCCAGCAAGAAATCACAAGGAAGCTATGGGGAAGGAGAAGGAAGGAGAAGACACCTTCCCCTAAGTAATTACAGAAGCCATGGTTTTGAATCCTTTAAGGGAGTAAAATGTAAAGAAAAACAACTATCCAAATACAGAACACAATTCTCATTCCCCATTTACTAATTCAATAATGAAGCATGAAGACATACTCCTCAAAGATTCTTGTACATGAGGTCTTGCCATCAGTTATGATAAACTCATAGATGCTGCCCAAATGCTGGTTTTCCTAGCTTACTCCAGCGTAATTTTCTTTCCCCTCCTCTCTCTCTCACTATACCAAAGCAACAAAAGAAGGATGTTAGGAACTTGTTTCATATTTAGAAGATAAGAAACCACAGATATAAGTAAAAGAAAGAAGAATTCCCAGACAGTAAATCATGCCAGACAAACTTTGACACGCTATAAATAATTGCTCTCCTCTTGCAAAGGTTCCAAAGACTTTTCTAGTTTTTTTGCTTCTTTGGCAATACTTTTTAGCCAGAGGGAAAAACTTTTCACCTCACGGTGGTGGTTTTGGTAGACAGCCTCATTCCCAGTTCACCTGGCAGTTTAGTACAGAGATGAATCTCCACAACCAGTACTGCTATATTTCTAGCATCATCCTATCTGACTTTAAAAACTGCATTATTTCAAAGGGATTGTGGGGAAGGAGAGGAAATCTTTCATCACTATACAAGAATTAATATTCCCTGTATCCTGGGATTCACAGACATTTAAATATAAATGACCTTGAACCAATGCAGAAAGATGACAGTGTAAGTCAGCAATTGAGAACTCTGGAATTAGTTGTTTTGGTGTTATTCTTCCACTGAATTCAGAGATTTCTGTGAACCCCTCAGCATTAACATTATTCCCCTAAGATATTTACTTCTCTTAACACAAGGACCAATTCTCTCCCTTTTCTTTTACCTCATATTTAGCAAATTACAGCATTGGAGTTAAGCAGCTTCCAACACTCCCTCTTAAAAGTACCTCTTAAATTCTAAGATCTAGAAGCATACATTTGCC